TGAGCTGGCCTGAGGCGCCACTCACCTGGTGCGTGATGGCCCACCACACCCCCTGCGGTGCGTGGGTGGCTACGCACGTCGTAGGTGCTCTGAATGGCTGGGCCCAGGTGATGGTGATGTGGCTTGGGGGGGGTCTGGGGTGGTGGTGGCTAGGGTGTGTGTGTGGCTGGGCGGCTGGTGACGTGGCTGGGGGTGGTGAGTGGCTTTTGGGGTGGGGAGTGGCTGGGGGTGCGTGGAGTGGCTGGGGAGCGGGAGTGGCTTTGGGGAGGAGTGGCTTGCGGGGAGGTTGCGTGGCTGGAGCCCGTGGTGGTTGTGGCTGGGGGAGGGGATGGCGGGGGTGGTTGAGTGACTGGGGGAGAGGGGTGGCTGGGGCGTGGCGGGAGTGGTGCTGGGGGTGCGTGAGTGGCTGGGGCGGAGGGAGTGGCCTGGGGGAGGGAGAGTGGCTGGGAGGAGGTGCCGTGGCTGGAGGTGCGTGGGTGCTGGGGGAGGGGATTGGCTGGGTGCGTGAGTGACTGGGGAGGCGGAGTGGCGCTGGGGGTGGGCGGATTGGCTGGGGGTGGTGAGTGGCTGGTGGATGGTGGGGGTGCGTGGGTGGCTAGGGGTGGTGGAGTGGCAGGGGTGGTGAGTGGCTGGGAGGTGGTGCGTGCTGGGGGGGTGAGTGGCTGGGGAGGTGAGTGGCTAGGGGTGGTGAGTTGCTTGGGGGTGTGGCGAGTGGCGGGCGGTTGTCGTTGAGTGGCTGGGGCTTGCGTGAGTGGCTTGGCGAGGAGAGTGCTGGGGTGCAGGGTGCGTGCCATTGGCTGGGGTGGTGAGTGCTTGGGGGAGGGGATGGCGGGGCGTGACGTGACCGTCGCTGGGGAGGGGAAGAGGGGAGGAGGGGAAGGTGGCTGGGGGTGGTGCGTGGCTGGGGGAGGGGTAAGAGGCGGAGGAGGGGAGGAGCGAGGCTTACCACGGACCGCAGCCATCCCCATGTGAATGATGAGTCCTGGGCTGACTGACGCCGATCCTGTTTAACCGTAGTGTCTTGGTGTCGTCTCCTCCGTCTTCTGTAATCACATCAGATCTTACGCCATACATATACTTCTATTTATATATATACTTATATATATATAGATATTATACATCGATACACTCAACAATCCTAACGTCGGTCAATCAAACCATACTAAAATTAAAATGTCACGATCCATCGACCTTCTACGAATTACGCGGATGCTGTAGCATGATCACGCTTTCATAAATGCACTTTATTCACAGGGGATTTCGATCATCAATGATATTCAATCACGCGTATTGCCTAATAGATTATACGCTATACACTAGGTTCACGCTGAAGTTGTTTCACTTCCTTAAAGGGATCCTTTACTCTAGGTTATTAGGGTTATTTTCAGTTAATTAGCGTTTAAATGTACGGCTGATAGAAAAGTTTCCTGGTTCAATCGCCATTAGAGGAATATATTTTTAATGTATTTAAAACTAACGACTTACAGTCGATTCAAAACGACGGTGGCGCACTGAAAGCGCACAATCTGAAAAGTTGCCACAAAACGACTTTTCACCCAAGGGCTACAGGACGACAGAGGTATTTCTCTATTTATTCATTTAATAGCCAAAAGGATTGTGTATCTATAAAAGCATTATAGTTTCAGATTATATATGGTATAAATTTGTCCTAAAATGAACATCCGTTCGGTTAAAGTAGCATTATAGGTATAAATATAATTACACCTTTGTGATTAGCCTCGGCTCGGCTAACGTGCAAAAAGTATAGGGAAATGCATACAACGTTTCGGGCGGTGCAGCACGGTCGCGGGTGTCCAGTCATGGCGGCCGTTCAAATTCGTAGTGTTGATGATACTACCACCCCCAGCCACCCACCACTACCCTTGCTACCGATGCATATCGGAAAGTCGTCACCGTCGTGGGTTAGTGAACGAACGTTATGTAGTAGAGAGGGTGGGCGGGGCGCATCAGCTCTCATGAGGCACGAGGGACCGGGGCGTCGCATCGCCCGCTAAACGCTTTACCTCTCGCTGACCGGGGCGTCGCATCGCCCGCTAAACGCTTTACCTCTCGCTGATTTCTGTCCAGATGAAGCAGAATGCAATGAATCTGTCTCCGGTAAGGAAGGGCAAGAGCGATGAGAGCGGGGACGAGGTTATGGATGTGAAGAATGAGGAGAGAGAGGACGGGGACGGGCAAAGCCCGGACGATATCACTCACGAAGGTAGAGACACCTCGCCGTAGCAGACGCCGCCACGTCGCCACGGCAACCATCCAGGAACCAATGGCGTCCGACGACGCACGTTCACTTGTCATTGGTAGGGCATCGACGTGATCATGTGATCGTCGTCGGACTCCGCCATTGGTTCCTGGATCGCGCCTGGCGTGGCTGGCGGGTATCTAACTGTTGCTGGTATTTTAACAGGGTATGGGCATTGCATCTGGTCTCCAAGGCTCAGCCGAATGCGTAAACTGTGATACAGATAGCAAGTGCGCCACTAACTCAGGTACTGAGCACTTCTGCTTTACCACGCATAGCGACCCCAATAGTCTCGCAGCTTGCGCATACTTCCCACCAAAAAACAAGTGGCAGCGCGTAATTTCCGCATTGCCAGAAGTAGTCGTTTCTGTTATTTTATCGACGGCGAGCCATTTCTTCATGCGGCGGGTGGGGGCGCCACCATAGCTGTCGTCGGCTGTCAGATGCATGCCCCTGTCCCTGGTTTTGCTTTTCTCTTTCTCTTTGAGTTTTCTCGTCGTGTCACCTTCTCTTTATTCGTCATTGTTTACGTAGCACGCAGGTTCAACGCCGTGATGGGGTGCAGGTAGGGATGCGACGACTGGGCTGGTCGTCATGACGACGGTGCGTGAGTCACCGGCTCACTCGCTGCACTGATCCATGTTCACAGTTATTATCGTCGTTACCATCGTTCACAGTAGCGTAGTACTTTGCGTGCCTCTACGTTCTTTCGCACTGTGAAGAGTGTCGAGTTTAAATTGACTACGTCACGAATTTTCTATGGTAAAATTTGTAAAGTAAGAACTACATGAAAAGTAAGAACTAATGGGACTAAACGTATCGTCAAATTCTTACCTGATAAGATTGTTTCTCAACTAGTTAAAAATCCAAAAAACCTGGACGATTTGATATTAGTGTTCCCAACATTAATTGCTTGCTATGGGCTATGTATGAGTCACGAGTGTATGTTCACATCGAACAATATAGTGAAACAGGAAGTATACTGCACCAATTTAACCATAAAAAGTGGACAGAATTACTTATATTTTGTGAAAAAGTGGAAATATATTTTTTATTTTTACTATTTATGGTGACGTAATCACTTTAAACCCTTTCTCCCACGCAGCCGTAGTTACGTAGTTAACCTGCTGTGTGTAGTGGTGTAGTCGTGTAGATTTTATCTAGTACCCGACCGTAGCATTTCGTTTTTTACTGATAGAATCGTAGCTGACATGACGTTGAAAGCGATGCAATAGTGCATTTCACGTGAACCGTGTATCAAAGCTAACAACCTGACACTGACAGCTATGAGATTTTACGAGATTAAGCGCTATTTCACGTCCGACGCGCTTCTCTCCCCGCTGCTTACGAAATACGGCAGCGGACGAAACTCTTGCGATCAATGCCGCATCTCGCGGTCGGATCGACTCGCGGCCGATCGCATCGTTCCTAGCGTCAATGTTTGCCAATGCTGCTATCATTGTCGGCGTCAGCGTCGGCTGCTGCTGCGGCTGCTGCTGCTGCGGCTGCTGCTGCTGCTGCTGCTGCTGCTGCTGCTGCTAATGCTGCTGCGGCTGCAGCGGCTGCGGCTGCAGCGGCTGCTGCTACTGCTGGGGCTGCTGCTGCTGCTGCTGCTGCTGGGGCTGCTGCTGCTGCTGCTGCTGCTGGGGCTGCTGCTGCAGCTGCGGCGGCGGCTGCGGCTGTGGCTGTGGCGGCGATGATGATGACGGTGGCGGTGGCTGCAGGTTGGGAGGGAGTGTTCGCGCGTGTGACTCCTCCCCCTCCTTCCCCCGCGCCGTCTCTCATCGCGGCTTCCCTCCTCCTCCGCAGACACAAACATGAACATCATGGAGAATCAGCTGCTGCAGGAGGCGCTGGACCAGGACAAGCAGAGGAGCGCAGGAGGAGGAGAGAACAGGGAGGAGTTTCCGCAGCACCTGTGTCCCGGCGGGGACTTCACGTTCCGTGTTACCGTGCTGCAGGCGTACGGCATCCCGATGGAATATGCTGACATCTTCTGCCAGTTCAAGTGAGTCGTTGTCGCCATTGTAACACAGTAAAAAGTAAAAAAAAAAATATTTGTATCGGTATATAATGAACATTATTAACATAAGCTAAGAGCTTTTGCACCGAATTATGCACATAATGCCCCGCGTGTGCCGTGTGTGGTAGTCGTACAATAAAACAACTAGCAGGGTCATAGCTAGCGGGGGGGGGGCAGTTTCCCTCACAGAGAAATATAGATACATTACATAGTCAATGGCGATCACCTTCCCAGAATATACAATGTGCGTCACTTTTCCCCCTCCCAGACAAAATGGGTCAGCTATGTTCCATACTAATGTAGTGCCTCACCTATATTGCGTGTGGTAGTCCTGAAGACTGTAGACATGTTGATGCCTGCATGCCACTCTAGTTTGTTTTGGGATGCAGCTTCTCCTTCTCTCTCCTCCTCCTCCTTCTCCTCCTTCTTCTCCTCCTTCTTCTCCTTATTCTCCTATTTCTTCTGCTCCTATGATGGTATGCAGCTGTGAAGGCAACACCAGTGTAGCGTTTCTCCTCGCGGTATCAAAACCGCTCGATGTCATCGTTCATCTTTCTTCTCTCTCTCTCCTCGTCTAGCTTCCTGCACAGACACGATGAGGCGTTCTCTACTGAGCCACTGAAGAACACTGGCAAGGGACCTCCGTTAGGCTTCTACCACGTGCAGAATGTAAGTCATCCACCCGGCTGTTTGCTCGGTGAGATCTTTGTCTCTCGCTTCACCGATCCTGCCGGATCCATTAATCCAATGATCTGATTGGATATCTGATCAGATCCACTAAGACTCTATTAGCAAGCAGGGGAATCAGAACTTGCTGATGGCGATTAATCATCTGTTGATGTGTCATCGATGACAAGCGTGCAAAGAATGTGTTTGTGTTTGTTTGAAGCAGTTAAGATTATCGTGATCTTCTCACGCCACCCGTGCCTGCATGCGCTATGTAATGCTAGAAGCTGCTTCTACCGTCAGCATATCTATAGAACATTTAACGCTTGTTTTAGAATATCTATGCTGCTATTTTCAAGATGCATCCTGTCATTACTGTTGCTCTATATGCGGCGCATGCATACCTATATGTATACACCGTGGAGTGCGATGACCACCTCAATCCATCGTATCCAATCGTAATCATCGTGTCTCACAGGTGACGGTAAACGTGACAAAGTCGTTCCTGGACTACATCAAGGATAAGCCGATAGTGTTCGAGGTGTTTGGACATTACCAGGAACACTCCACACCAGAGCAGTTCAGTCACAAGTAAGTTGATTGTTGGTTACTTGACGCGGCGTGTGGATGTGATTGTAGAGTAGTCGGTGGGACAGTGCACTCTGAGGAACGCGTGCTATACTGGAAAGCAATGTTAGGCATCAGAAGAAGGAGCACACTCGATGTTTTCTTTACTTCTTCTCAGGTTTAGTTTTTTTGGTTGAGAGGTAGAATGGGTGCTGTGTAATATGTTCCTGCGTGCGTGCGTGCGTGCGTGCGTGCGTGCGTGCGTGCGTGCGTGCGTGCGTGCGTGCGTGCGTGCGTGCGTGCGTGTGTGCGTGCGTGTGGAAATACATGTACACATGGCTGTGCGTGCGTACGTTCATGCGTACGTGCGTGCGTATATCCATCCATCCATGCGTGCGTGCGTATGTCCATCCATGCGTGCGTGTGTGTCCATCCATGCGTGCGTGTGTGTATGTCCATCCATGCGTGCGTGTGTATGTCCATCCATGCGTGTGCGTATGTCCATCCATGCGTGCGTGCGTATGTCCATCCATGCGTGCGTGCGTATGTCCATCCATGCGTGCGTGCGTATGTCCATCCATGCGTGCGTGCGCGCTCACGTGGAGTGATGCAACATAATGTGACAATGACACAGCACACGGATGACAAAATGTCAACGGCTCAACGTGGAGTGATGAAAACATATGTGACAATGACACGCACACGATGACAAATAATGTCAACTGCTCACGTGGAAGTGATGAAACATAAATGTGACAATGACACCACACGATGACACTATACATAGTCAACGCTCACGTGGAGTGATGAAACATTTTGGACAATCGACACGCACACGGATGACAACAATGTCAACGCTCAAGTGGAGTGATGAAACATAATGTGACCAATGACACGAGTTCCACACGATGACAAACAATGTCAACGCTCACGTGGAGTGATGCAACATATGTGAGCAATGACAGCACACGGATGACAACAATGTCAACGCTACGAGTGGGAGTGATGCAACATATGTGACAATGCAGCACACGATGAACAAACTGTCAACGGCTCACGTGGGAGCAAGTTGACATGCACACCGTAACTTACAGGCTACATAGTGATGGCAACTTGCAAACACGACATGACAAACAAATGTAACGCTCCTGGAACGTGATGAAACCAAGCGCATACATGAAAGTTTCAACACTGTAACACACAAAGATACACGTGAGTGACGCACTGCACAGAGTGACACTTGTGACAACGACTCTCACGCTCACGGTCACAAGGTCACGGTCACAAGGTCACGGTCACGAAGGTCAACGGTCACGAAGGTCACGGTCCACAAGGCAGGTCCACAGTCACGAGTCACAGAACCTTAGCAATGGTCCAGACAAGGTCATGGTGCACAAGCATGCACGTCACAAGGTTCATAGGTCACAAGCTCAACGGTCAACAAGGTCACGGACGAACGCCATCGCTCAACCGATGACAGCTCCTTGATGTCCGTCGCAGAGCGAGATTCCGGTCCCGTCTCGTGTGGACGGCAGATGCGATCCTCGCGTGATCCCATGAATGCAGCAGGAACGTGCCGCGGCCGGGCTGGTCCCTCACGTGTCAACGAGAGCTGGCAGGGTATCCTGTACCACAGTCCGCACGTCGTGGTCACTCACTCACTCACGCACAAACACTGCACGGGGTCATCACGTCATGCACTCACCACTCACAACACTGCGGCCGGGGTCATCACATCCGAGCGGTCACAACACTTGCGTCGGGACAATAGTCAGCGGTAACACAACCAAACCCAACGTTAAACCGGCGTCGTCTACCATGCTAAGACAACACTGAGAATATTTCGGCATCCCGATCATCGAACACGATACAACTGATCGTAATGCGAACACAAGCTACGAGCTCTAACAACTAGACGGCAGAAATACAAGCCTAACCCTAACTCTCCTAGAATTAAACCAAGGATCTTCGTATGTGTTCTGAATTAGCATGATCGACATCCCGAATATACTTCTAGATAGAATACGCTCATAAATCGGGACATCAACTAAGTCTGACAGGTTCTCTGTGAGAACTAGTATCAGAAATAACAACGATAGCTATAAATCTTCAAATGGTAATTAATTCACATAAGAACTAGCTGACCTCCTACAGAAAGACATAACTACGGGCTACGATAATTTCAACCCGAGACATGCGAGAGAGTCGAACCAGTTATAGCGATCGCAACGTCAGTCACTCGGACAAAATCACAGTCAGTACGACGGGCCGACCGATCGCGAGACTACGCAGTACTTACTCTCGCGTTAGGCCCAAGCTCACAGATCTCTGACCAGACGAGCGAGGTCGTACTTGGAGTAGATGGTCCAGTTGTTGCTGGCGCTGTAGAGGTCCGATCTTAGGTGAGCGCAGCCGCCCGTGAGAATCGGCAGGTAACGATGGAAAGATGTCTTAAGGTCGGCAAGACGTCTGTAATTAACGACAGAAG